GCAGGCTGTTTATGTACAGGGAAAAAAGAACAAGGGAGACAGAATGGGGCCCTGGAAGACACCAGAGTTAACATAAGAAGACGAAGACGTTTTACCATTGCATGAGTTAAATTTCGTCCTAGAAGAGAAGTAATTTACAAGAACGTTTAAAATGTCGGACCCTCAGCGGCAATCAGCAAGACGTTGAATGCGAACGCGACGGTCAAGCGAACAAAAGGCGTTAGTATAGTCAAGAAAAATAAGGCGAACAGTTCCAGCACTCATCAACATACGCGACAGCGTCAGTAGTCGAAAGGGATTGCTTGTAAGCAAACTGAAGAAGGTCAAGTACATCAGAGAGGGTAGTCAAACGGTTCAACGGCACCTTCAACAGAGCTGAGGCATATGCAATCGAGAACACGAGTTGGTGGGCGAATAATCGTTTTCGGATATCAAAGAAGTTCATCGTGTATAGAGCAAAAACTAGGAAACACTGGACAGCTTTTTCGACCTGGTCGGGCCTCATCAGCAGTACGAATCCATCTAACCGGGACCTCATAGGTAGAACGCAAGCATACTACCCACTCGGCCACCGGATAGCTGGTCAGACCGTTTTTCATTTTCCACGATATAGCACAACCCATCTATGCGAGCTTGTTGCGGGCCACAGGCCCCGCTCACCTCAGAACTAGCCTCCTAGTGGAGTCGGTTGGAAACATTCACAACCTGACTACTTATTTCAAATGAGTAATGGAGGATTTGATTCGATTTCAAATTTCGGATATTCCTAGTCATGGTCTTACATAGTATACAGAGGAAACAATTCTTACATAATGATAGCCATTGGCTCAATTTAAGGTCAGTAATTGGAGGCAGATAGTAGGGAATGTGTGTGTGTATAAGAATGTTTAGTGTGTTAGTTGGTGTAACCTTCCCCACTTGGGTCAAATGACACGTCATGTTCTGTCTTGGTTTGCACAACCGGCCAAGTGTTATGTCCTGCCGAACGATGCGCATCCCAACGATTCCAGCAAAACGACAGTTGGAAAACACAGTGTCAGTCTTTATTGGTATCACCAGCTAAAACGTGGTCGCGGTCAAGTAAGGGGAAGAGAACGTGTGGTATTTATGAGGTTGCTCACTATCCGGAATGGAGGTTACGTGGGTGGCGATGGAGGACGTGCCAGAAATCAGGTCACTGTGCTTTGTAATTTTACTCTGACTCACACGTATCCAGTACGATCGAGAAAATGCCGACGTTCACACGGGGTCGCGACTGATCCTATACCGGTTCTGATTCACACTGAGAATTCTCAGGAGAAGGTTAGGCATCTCCTGACATCAAGGAAATTGGAGCGCGTGCACCAGTCTTTTTGGGGCACACGGGTTGTGGTCTTGTAAGGAATGGTGATCGCCTCGACCATAGCTAGTGTCCAAACTCGGGTCGCCCTCGATCTATTGAGTGGGATGAGATAAGCAACATCGAAAGCTTTCTCTGGTTCGACCTGGTCCCTGGTGTCGACGGGATGCCCCCCGATCGCAATCGGTCAGTATTTTGGAGACCCATCCTTGGGGATGGTCTTATCCGGGCAGCCCTCTAGCAATCGGGGATTGTTCCGGAGGACGTACACAAATTAAACAACTCTGCAAAGAGTATTGCAAGATGTTCGGCACATGTTTTCGATAAAATAGGGGATGATGAGTCCAGTCTGCGTGCCTTGTTTGACTTAAGTTGCTTCAAAACTTTGAGAACCTCGGTCGGAGAAACAGAGTCGGTGTTTTCTGGGGATTTGAAAATGAGCGGTAGAGAAAGGGAACCAGAGGAAAATAGTTGGTTTATTTCTTCCACGTCAGGACAGGAGCTCCCACGTGTGTCACAGAGTTGCTTCAACGCCGACCACATCTCACGACAGCTCTGGTTGCCCAGACTGGTCTCGACATACATCCGATTCAAGCGCTGAATCCCTGCTTTGATGATAATCGATATTAGTTTAACATCGTAGCGCCTGCTATTCATATATGCCTTTCCATCACGTCGAAGACGTTTTAGAAGAGGCGATGAAAATCTGTCAAATCAAATCCATCAAGCCGGACAACATCGTCCTCAATTTCAGGATGTAACCAACTCTCCTAAAGCATAATAATTCTAATGTTTCTGCACACTTTCATGTAACATACTTTTGACTTCATCCACTTTTCCCAGAAGTGAGCAGATGTTACTGAAAATAACGGGAACAGTCAGTCTGGTGATGGAACGCCACGTGAGAGCGACCCTCCGACCAGTACGATGTTTTATTTGCTGTCCTTGTCCCCTCTTCCTAAATCGATTTCGCACACAATGTGCAAAACACGAAAATTGGTTTCCACGCGTGATGAAACGAAGGGAAGTCAAAAATGTGCGGCTGTAGGACAGCATTGGACCTTGAACATTGAATGAGTTGATTTGATAAAATATGTTGAGAAGAGAACGCAGTTTTCCACTGTGAAATCCCGAAAATATCAGATAGTAGTTTTAGGCACGGCCGAATTTGAAAGCCCTGCCAGAAAGTTGGTGCTCAAAATTCTACTCACCGTCTCCAATTTAACCACTTGTTTCATTTGGAATGCAAATTTTTGAGCATTGAAAGATTCATTTAACAAAGTGCTTAACACTGGCTCTGAAATACGCAACAGGAGACAGAAACATTTACACTAACTAGCAAAACTATACGCAAATCCAATTATTTGTGAAATCAAGTTTTTTCAAGAATCCCAAATTGTTTACAAGGCCGATTGTGATCCTATGATAGCTATTTGATTATTTTATTTAGTTGGCAACATATCACAACAACTAGATTATAGTTTTATTCGATGTTAGGAGTTTATGTGTGTTGGTGATTTCCCCATTCGAGTCGGTAAACAGCTTCCAATTGATATACAACGATAAAACCCACATGAACAGCCTCGATTGACTTCGATGGTTTAGGGGTTCCACTTGCATTCGTCGTGCCAATATGAGCGATCATGTCTACTTCGGAAACCAAGATTCATTGGAAGGGCACTGTCTGTCATCAACGCTCTCCAACATTCCCGTCATAGCCCCGGAAGAGCCGATTACCAGATGAAATACAATGTCACATCCGATGAGATTATTTGATGTGAACCTTGCTGCCCTAACTTAATTCTGGTTGTGATGTTCAACTAACTCTCGAAGTGGGTTTACATATCCTCCACCGATAGGCACATTGGGAAGAAAGAAACAGATAGATCGGTGGCCCAATTCTGGCAAACACGACTGGAGTGAGTGGTCAAGTGGTTAGGTCACCAAATTGTGATCTGTTAGTCCCGGGTTCGAACCGCTCTATCGCCGCCCGTCTTCTCAGCCTTGGAATGGCCGCGGCCCCCCTTCCTGAATGTTTGCTCTACATTTGTATAATTAATGAATAAAAAAGGAAGCAAAAAGGCAGACACGACTGGAGTGAGTTAGCGCCTACGCGAATGCACTGTTGTGGTGTGGCAGCAATCTTCTCAGATAGTCTCGGTCTGTCTGTCACACTCGTGAACAGGAACATCTTCGGTCAGCTAATTTATTGCCGGATCTTCAGGCATCCATTCTCAGCGAGCGAAATAGTACCCCGCAAAAAAACTCACTTTATATCTAACTGACGTCCTTGTATTTAATTTACACACATCAAATTGGTCACGATTAGCGAGATTTTCCATCAAATTTGATTGAGTGAAAGGTTTATCAAGGAGGACATGATTTCGTTTGTTACTGTTGAAGAACAGCGCAAAATTGACAAACCACACACATCCTGATTATTATTCACCTAGTGCGTTTATCAGAGAAACAGGAACTCACTGAGGTGTACTAGCATGATCTGGATTGTGTTCACTGTGTGGAGACTTTGGTCCCGGAACCGCTGGATTCGGTTCAGTGAACGGTTCCAAATCGACACTCAACTCACTCGGAGACCATGAGTGTTCAACAGAGTGGTCTACACTATTGTTCACATCCGCATGAGCCCCCGCTTCGAATTGTGGACGTGTGGGTGTGTGGGACTGGTCACCAGTTTCGACAGTATCTTGTTCCTCTGAGCTGACACTGTCTGATTTTCTGTCCTCTTTCTGTCTGGAACAGCTAGGCAAAGCTGATAGTGGAGAGATTTCGTAAGATGCACTTTCTGTGATGTCCTGTTCTTCGCCATCATCATCATCTGTTTCCAGTGAGTGATCGAATTCCACGGATGGACGAGTTTCAGCATGCTCAGTAATGCAATTGGTCACAAAAAAGTGATGGTCATGAGGTGTTTTTACTTCTATATTAGTATTGTATGCGTTCGGTAAGTCATCATCAGTTAGATTGGAGTCTGCATCAACCGATCGGTCCTCTTCCTCGTCGTCTGATACGGGAATAGATTGTTGCAACTCAAAGGACTCTGCGCAGTTTATGATGTAAGTGTCCGGCCGTGACAGTTCGAGATTCATTGGTAGATCAGTGGGAGCGTTTTGGTTGACAGGGCTTTCAGGACGTTCCTTGTTTATCTGTGGCTCCTGATAAGAAATATCATCGATAAATCGGTTTTCTGGCCAGTGGAAAGATTAAAAAAACAAGAGAAAATTGACAACACAGAAAACAACATGTGTGGACAGATGAGACAACATCGAACATTGTTTCTGAAACAGGATGTATCGTGCTCATCGATGAGGAAAGAGAGGCTAATGCATAGTCAATCATTTTCCCCTTTAATTCAATTTCGCGTCAAACAACACTCAACGGTGCACTTACGTTCAATATATTTGCGAGCGAAACTGAGGAATTACGATCATGTGATCTCGTTTGTGTATTAGTTTCAGCGAACAAAGGAATCACACTAACCAATCAATGAACTCAGAGCGCAATAGTACGGTTCTAGCATATCATATCCGGGGCGAAGCTTTAACCTTTGAACGACTATCCCTCATGGCATGTTCTGAACTATTCACAACTCCACTAAAGTTCTATAGTTGATCATTTTGTTCAACAGTGGGATCTGGAGTAATCCATGTTTAGTTCTCTTCAGGTAACCGTTAACATTATATAGTAGTTTATCCAATCGGAATGTTCGTATTTCATGCAGTAAACGAATAGATTGTTCTTATTAACACTAGGACCATATATAGCTTTATCCGATGAAATACTGTGTGAGGATGAATCGATTTCACGGATCCCTCCTATGCGGATGATTGCTTATATTTGTGGTGTTCAAACAGCATTCCGGTGCGAGCTAAAAATTAGTCTGGATTCCAACTCCGCAATCCTGTCCTCTTCGACCGTAATGATTCAGATCTTTAGTTGAGCACTCCAATGATGTTTCCATCCGCACCAGTGCGTTGGAAATTTGTCCTCTTCTTCTGGAGAACCCCGTAGACGTGGGCGTCAGAGAATATGGCTGAACCGATGCAAAGGATGGTTTTACGAGGATATCGAACGCTTTTCAACGGAACAGCAGTGCTGATGAACTTTCTCTCTGGATAGCAGATTTTGTAACTCAACCTTAAGTTCGAAGCACAGATACTGGTAGGCGAAACCCTCAAGTCTTCGAGGATAACGCAGTTTTACTGACACCGTCTCCCAGTTACAGTTTAAGCCAGGATGAATGAACGATAGCTCGGCAAAATCACGACTTCGCGCTATCAGGCTGAGTTTGTTATCCAGCCAGTTGAACGTCAGGATAATCAGCGTTGGCACAGATCCTCCTCTGTTCAGCTCCGAAGACAACAGGCAGCCTAGTTCGAATAAAACTCCAGAGACTCCGCTTCACAGGTGCGAGGCGAAGCGAACATCGTTTGTTGGAGAAGTATGTCTCCACCAGTCCCAATATCTTTCGCATCTATTGCTGTGCCATTTTCTTTCAAAGTGTGTTACGCAACGAAGTTTTGTGGACGAAATCGAGGGAAAAGAGGCAGTTTTGAAGCAGCCCGTCTGTTGGAATTGGTGGCAGAGGTCTGAGATCCGACGGAGGGTAAATAAGTGATCAGAACAATGGAAACCGCATTGGTTTGCGCTAGTGCGGGGATCTTTGGCCGCTTCGAACCGATTAGAAAGTGGCTGCGTGAGCAGTTGGATCGCTCTGTTAATCAGACTGTTGTCTTAGTAGTACTAAACACAGCCCCTCACCTTTTGGCAGATCAGCAGGAGAAAGCCACAGAGCAATTAGGTAGAGTGGGTGACTCTTGTCTTCCAGGTCGGAATCCAAGGGACTCTGTAACCGATTGATCGGAAACAGTGCAGAAGATAAGAAACCCGCACTGGTCGCCCGATTGTTGTCATTTTTCTATCTGATTAGAAGAATGTTTAAAAAGGTGTATGTGAACAATTGGATAGTGTGTGACCGCAGAGGTGTAGTTTCTCCAATCAACCCCTTCTTCCAAACAGACATACTCTCTGGCCACACTTGCATTGCACACAGCGAGTTTGGAAGCGTTTAGCCAATATCGCTTTTAGACAATAATAGCAGACAAATAGGGATAACCAATATTTCCGGAAGATATTCGTTTCTCAGATCGCATGAGCGGGCGAACACGGCCAGATGAACAAGATAGATGTGCTCGATTCGAAAACCTCGGGTAGAATATCACCCTCCTCTGGATTCTTCTAATTTTCAAGCATACTTTAATCGTTTCCACTGCATCGCATATTCGTGAAAAGTTGTTTACCAACAGTGTTCGGTAGAACTTGTGCTCGTTCCAGATGCTGTAGAGTGTTGGCGCCATTCCTAGTCACGACTCGAGGAGTTCTATCGTTTTCAGATCCATCTTCAGGGAAGCATGTACAACGGAATAGTCAGTGTCATTTGTATTCCCGATTCTCGTGCCGCAGTAAGCTTAACAGTTTTTCATTTTAAATGGCCAACGAAATCGAATATAGCTGACCTCATACGCTGTTGTTCCGATATTTGACTATCACATCAACAAATGTGATGGAAACAACCAATTAATTAGAGTCAGACTAGACGTTTTCCGTTCTCGCAACTTTATGCCTCCAAAAGACGAGTGCTGGCTTGAACAAGGTTGTTTGTTAAGAGCCACAATTGGATGGTGGATAATTTGGCGTACATATAACAATACGACTCATTTTGAACATATCATTATAATCCCAATAAGCACACAGCATCATAAAAAAAAAACAGTCGGTAGTAATAGTTTTGAACACACCAATAAGCTTCAAGAGGTCTTGTTCATTTTTGACCGCTAAAGGAAACCGTCAATCGCATCCTTTTGCGTACTACTCACAAACAACCCACAACAACAGAATCAAACCTCTTGAGTATACGACGAGTGTTACCGCCTGACGGTCCAGTGGGAGTAATCCACTTTCCTGCAATGAGAAGAATATCATGTTCGCGGAGGAGATTGACCATAGTTTACAGCAGGTGGTCGAATACGTCTTTGATAACGAGATCAGCCGAAAAAGTCGGAGCCCAGAAAGCTATGATTGGCAAATCCATTGGATTACCTCTGATGCATTCCATCGAGAACCTAGGTGAGATGGATTCCGGGGCAATCAGTGCGTTGTTAGCACAATGGTTGGTAGCAACGTAGTTCAGGGCTGACAATCGAGCCACAGTCGTATCTCTTCGAAGGACGGCAATTTCCCGTATCTCGAAGCCAGGTAATTACAACTCTGACCTAAGTTAGTTTCTGTCATGACCTGTGGTCGAGTGAAATGTTTATAACAGATCACATGTTTGACCCTTGCAGCCCGCCATCACTCCTACGTACGCACGTTAGGCAGACTTACTCTATTACAAGGTCTATCCGCCTCAGCGAACCGGAGGTTAGGATTGACCTGTCCGCATTGATTGGTTCGTTGGCTATCCAGTGTGACGCTATTCTGCTTTTGGTAACGCTTGCGCCAGTTTATGGCTTGCCTGCATGTTGACTCACTGCTTGCTAACCGGCCTACGAATCGGCTACAAATAACTACTCAAATCACCGTTTGTCTTATTATGTGCCTCTGCAAGATACAACAGTTCCCTCCCGCTGAAAATTTGTAAATGTTTGACCCGGGGCTTGTTTACTTCCCTTTAACCGTTGTTCCGATCTCTGATGAGTCCATTACGGGACTCTGCTATGAAGGAACAACAGTAATGCCAACTGGAACGCCACGTCCACATGAATGAAACACCAATTCGAGTTCTGCCATCACAGGGACATTGGATATCGTCTAGCGCTTATCCCATTTATTGCCGAAATCATCCAAGTTTGGCGTGTCTGTAACACTTTTAGCTTCTCCTTAAGGTACCACTCAATCGTAATCTGGGTCACCGGGGTTATTTCAGTCTCAGTGTTTACTGTTAGTCTGACACATCTTTTCGCTATCTCCTCGCTTTAGTTTCCAATCCGTCAGTTTTACGATTGAGCTGATCAATATTGGTCTTCTCAATCCGATTATTTCGAATCGAACACTGATCACGATTGTGCATATCAATGTACTCCAATCCTGACTGGATAATTGTCCGAATTTGGTATAACTCCAATGGTTAGCTGAAGGGTCCGGTTGTGGATTCCTCAAGATAATTTACCTGTATTAGCCTGGGCAACCTGGCAGTATTCCGCCCACATGTAAAGCATGGAAGGTTTTTCTTTTTCATAAGGATTATTGTGCCAGGATTTGTTTGGCACAGTCTGGCGTCTGACGTGTGATATATATATATATATAACACCGGCTTGAAATCAAGCTTGGTGCCAACGCCATAACAGTATTGTCAACAATAATAACGAGCGGGGGGGTTAGGGTACAGAGTATAGGGAAAAAATGTAGCTGGCTGAATGGGGGATTACGAATAAAAGGAATAACAATTTCTTTTTGGTGTTTCACCGCACACTTTTTGAATTTTTTGTTGTTGTTGTTGTCTCCTTATTTTATCACCGGGTAAGCGAACAAGCATGGTGCCAACGCAACGACAGGAATAACATTTGTTTATTTGTTTTATCGTTCACCTTTTGTGTTTTATTTGATTGTTTTTTTTATGGGACACGGGATTTCCACAGGCAGACCGTACAGCATTTGCGCCACTAACTTCTATTCTAAACCATATCTCTCAGCGTCTCTAACCAACGACAATCTCCAACCCTTGGGCT